AAGACAGCATTTAGGTGGAAAGATAAACCTGCGGGAAAAGACAGGCTCAGGAAGGGATGAGACGTCTTCCCAGACAGAGCAGCGAGGCAGAACTGACAAGCCCCCATGGTGACTGTAGGCCACCTATGGCGCCTTACAATTAACCAAGATGCCTGGACTTTCCTATTGGAAAAAACCTGTGATCCACCTGATCCTTTTTCTGTGAGATGAATGTGTGTCTAGGGGTCCAGAGCACCAGCTGGGCCCAGTTGGGGCTGCTCTCAAGGACAGTTCAAAGACATGGTGGCCCCAGGAAAGCCAAGGGGACAGAACTCCATTGGACCTACAACCTGTGGAAGCTCTGGGCCAGCAAGGAGGACGTAAGCAGGAAACAGGGAAGCTACCTGAGTCACTAGAAGGACAAAGCAGGAAGCGGGGAAGAGAAAGCTAGGGAAAAAACAGAGGGCAGGAATCTGAGGCCCAGGTAGGGTGAAGTATAAATTCAGTGACTCCCACCCCCATCATATGTGCCCATTTTGCACAGCTTGGTATGTGTTCCTGGGCTCAAATCAGCAGACAACACTGCTCAGGGCTACTGTTCCCTCATTTCCACAGACACAGAATTCCTCAGGGTATTGCCAAGGGGCTGGGAAATGCCCTCTGTATCACTTAAACTGATCTGCTACCCTCTGTGCTTTGGAAAGTATGAAGAGGCACAAAAGCCCAAGGCACTCCTGCCATTGCTGTTTGTAAGAGGCCAGGGAAAGACCTAATGGCTACACTGAGTTGTGAGGAGGAATGTTTTTAGGGCCCAAATTAGGAGAGCAAATAGAGAAGGCTCCGGCCGAACCTCAAGGCTCCAGCAGAAGCCTCAAACAGAAAGAACTAGTTAATTCTCTGATTTTTTCCTACTGGTGTTATTCTAGGGCTAGATATCCTCAAGAAATGTCATATTTTCCCACATAATTTTAAAGCTCCCAGCATCATCTAAGAGTAATTCTCCAAGTATGATTTATTCGAATGGAAATATCCAATCACACATGATGCAAATTTCATTAGCATTATGTGACACAGTTGATTTTTTCTTCTGGCATAATTGTTGTTTTTCTTTTATCCTATTTATAAAATAACCCCCTATTATTTAAATCACTTAAAAATGAAAACTATACACAGTGGCTTGATGATCTTCTAACCAGACTTCTGCAAAAACAACATAAAATTCCGAGAGTATAAATTAAATTCATCTTCCTTAGGAAGTATTATGATTGATTCAGATCTCTTGAGTGCCAAGTGTGTTTAGCTTTTCAGAAAACGTAAGAAAAAGCCTGCCGTCCCTGTCAATGTAAAAATGGCAAATGAATCAGATGCAACTTGAGAAAATTTACCCAAACGCAAACCATCGATTAAAGAAGCCCCTTAGCCACTCCCCCCCCCCCCCCCCCCGTTGGACAATGACAGAGGATAAGTCAGCGGAAGTGTGACTCGTGACCCATGGGGTCAAGAAAAAGAGACGATGCCAGCAACCCACACGCCCTCCCTGTCCCGCATGTTTCTCTGAGGGGAGGAGGATTAAAAAGCAGCTGCTGCCTCTCACCACAATCTCTCACCTGACTCACCAGCAGCTCACAGTTCAGAGGGGCGCCGATGGACTCTGAAAGCCCTCAGTTAGGGATTAACATCACAGACCACCAGAGAGGATGTCTGTCCTCCAGATTTTTATTCTGGGTCAAAGAGAAGGCAAAGGGAAAAGGTACAGATTCCTCAATGCTCCCCTCCCACTTTCCTTCCTCCTTTCCTCCCTCTTTTTCTTCTAGAGGAGTTTCTAAGACATCCACATCTTAGCATCCCAGAACTTCTGGAAGCATCTTTACAGCCCATCTAGCCCAACTGCCTTGTTCTACAGAGGAGGAAACTGAGGCCTAGAGATGGTAAATGACTGGCCCGAGAGCACACAGCTAATTCATGGTGGAACCACGAGTGGAACCCAGGACACCTAACCATGCAGCTGCTCCTGCACCTTTCCCTCAGTGCTGGCCTTTCTTTCCTTCCATCAGAGCAGGTGGAATGAGGAAGCAGGCCCTGCATTTTGAGGGAGAAGACGGCAACTAAATAGAGAAGCTGGTGTTCTCTGCAGGAAGTTCTAATGGCAATCCCTAGTAATGAAAAGCCAGCTGTGGACAGACTGGGTGACAAGGTTGACACTAACGCTAGCTCACCCCAGAGGAGCACCTTGGAATGCTAGGACCCACTCGCGGACACAGAAAGGTCCATTTTCTAGTAGTGGGGGCTTAGAATCAATGCTCCAATCCCAAACAGGAATCAATAACCATTCAGAAATAAGCCCCTCAGTTGAGATAGGCCGACAACAGCAGCGGGATGACAAGGAGTCACAGGGGCTGCTCTAGGACCAACAAGTGGGGATGGGGATGATGCAGCTGTATGGCAGCACTTGGCCCTGCTGGTCACACTGAGGGTGCTGCACTGAGCTGCCTGGGACAGGGACAGTGGCCCTGCAACTGAATCCATCACTCAGGGTAAATAAACTCACTACCCTTCTCTGCACTCAGCCCCGAGTGTGATTATCTGGTTTGTGGGGAAACATCATTTTTAAAATCTACTAGGAAAATACTTTTTCTTATTGCAGCACTGTCAAACTTGTATTTTAAAGGAGAGATTCAACTGTTTAGACTTAAATTTTTTTTTTCTGTTCAGAAAGAGTCCACTCTGTTACCTTTCACTGATTGATCAAGGGGGCTTCTCCTGAGTGTGGGTAGGGCTGGGATGTATGCTCCTGCCTGGCAGGAGAGGCAGGTACAGTCAGAGACACACCAGCAACCACTCTCCCCTTCTCCCTTCCTAAAAGAACTGCACTGGAGGTGGCAATGCAGCCAAAGAAAACAACAGTTTCCAGACTCCTTTGTAATTAAGGATAGACATGGGACCAGGATCTAGCCAATAGGGACAAGAGAAATTACCGAGTAGAATCTTTGGGAAAACTTCTGAAAAAGTGGAGATGGCTCAGCTGGCAGGTACCTTCTGCCTTTCCCTTTTCCTTCTTCCTGATGAGAACAAGGATGTGATGGCTGTGGTGGAGGCAGCCATGTTGTAACTCTGAGGCAACCCCAAGGATGGAAGCTGAAAGCTGAGAATGGGGGTAACAGAGTGATTGAAGGAGCTTCCACACCAGAACTGCACCACCTCCTCCAGACTGCTTTTCAACAAATGTCAGAGGAAAACAATCCCTACTTGTTTAAACATTATTTTTCTCTATTATTTGTAGCCAAGTGCATTTCCTAACTGAAACACATATACGTACTCCTCACCAAGAGGCCCCATCACTGAGTGTGAGGCAGGAACCACCAAATATTTAAAGTGAAAAGGAAGAGCAATAACAGGGTATCGATCCCAGCTGCGCTAAGAGAAATTCCAACTCAGAGACCGCAATTAAAACAATGGAAAGGAAAACATCCCACACCAAATTATCAGTTTTGATGATTAGAGGTGCTTTGTTGTGAACCAGAGGATTGGTTCGAGGGCTACAAATTGAGCAAAGGCTTCATGCAAGTATTTAATAAAAATCATTCATAAAGAAATGTAGCCTCTGGGCAAAACTGAGTGGGAAGAAAGTGGTGGTATAGGGAGAGGGTTCAAGAGAGCTTTCTCTGATTGTAGGAATGCACAAGCTTCAGGGAATGTGTGCAAGTCACTGGAGCATTGTTCTCATTATTACTAATGGTTCTTAATAATTAAGGGGCAATGTTGGGTCTCTCCAGATGGCGAAAATGATCAGAAATTGCTCGTTGCAGTTATACTAATAACTAAATATAATTTGACACTAAATTACAATTCCAGATATACAGCTTTCTGCAGTCTTTTATTGCAAAGGAAAACTAAGCCAGAACATCAATAAATAGAATAATCCAATTAAGCATTTCTCCATTTGGGAACTATTTAGAATTGAGTGTTTAACAGGATAGTGAAGTAGGGTAAAACAATTCAGTATTTACAGATTCTAAAAATCAGGGCTTTTATTGTAAGACAAATTACTTTTTGTTATTTTAAAATAAGTGTCTAATCAATCTGAATGGCTTGGGTCATTTATGCAGTGATTTTAATCACTATAAATTCTTTCTAGACATGAGGCATAATTTCACATGAATACATTTACTTATAATTTAATATTAAATATAAGCACTTTTTAGTGCTCAGAATCTTTATAAACATATTCCCAAACTTGCAGTGATTTTAATCACTATAAATTCTTTCTAGACATGAGGCATAATTTCACATGAATACAGTTACTTATAATTTAATATTAAATATAAGCACTTTTTAGTGCTCAGAATCTTTATAAACATATTCCCAAACTTTTTTTTAAAACCATATACAATAATCACCTTTAAGCCAGGATTTTCAAATAAAGGAAGATGGATTGTTAAAAATGTCTGTATTCCTTTTAGCTACATTTAAATGGAGAAATGATAGCTAAATTCCCTAATTATAACCTACATCAGTACTGCTGTTAATACACTTTACAGGACTGTGTCAGAGATGGACGCTTCCTCCATATTGGGGAGGGAGTGATAATTGCCTGCAGATGCAGAAATACAAGGGAAGAAATCTGGCAACAGATGAACTGGAGCACCCATGGACACACAGACTGTACTCTGAGCTTTCTGTTAGCCTATTTGTTCAATGAATGAGTTAACTCAGATTCTTCAGAGAAAGGTATCCTTAGAAGCATCCAGAACATCTGATAAAGCCTAGGCCACATCCCTCAGGCTGAATTTCCATAGGGAACGTAGTGGCAGATCTAGTACTAAAATCAAGGTATGACCAATTCTCCAGGAAAACCCTCCACGTCCAGAGTTAAAGCATTCTGCATCACATTTTTTGGCAAGGATGCCTTTGGTGATTCTTGCTTACTATTAAAGCATTACCATACACACAGATGGTCTCTGTGGTACTGACCCCTCGCAGGACTTTTAAGACAATGTGAAGGACATTTAAAAGATACTTACTGCTGGTGGAGGACAGGTGGCTGTAGTCGGACCTGAAACATAAGACCTCAGTATTAGCAGGATCATATGTGATCTTTCTTTAACCAAATAATTTACTGCAGCTAGAATGTTAAACTATAAGTGGTAAGTAGCATTTAACTGGGAAAGAAATGTCACAAATTAAAAACTGTGGTGCTGAGGCTCAATTTTATGCAGAATAATACTATGTCTGAATTTGAAAGCAAAACTTTAGAGGCATTTTAGAAATCTGGGCTTCTTCATATGGTCTCTATGAATCCCCCTGATGTGATTTGGGAGGTCCTGAGCCATCTAAATTTGCTGGCAAATTTTTGAATGGTTTTTCTGGAGAGAAGGCCCAAAGTTTTCAACAGATTCTCAAAGCAGTTCATGACTCCCTGAAGATTAAGCCACTGCAAATGAGCACCCTTCAAGTGTTCACACCATACCATGGGGAAAAGTTTCTTTGGTGACATAAGCAGCAAAGAGGATCTGGTGAGAGGAGGGACAGAATCTTGCCTGTGAAGGCTTCCACAGTAGAGGTATGGCCGACCATCAGGAAACACAAATCTGCAATGATGGTGACTGATTTCAGTTCCATCTGAGAAGAAATCCCACTGGATATCAGAGTAACAGGATGTGGGCTGTGATATGGAAAGAGAAAAGGCAGGGCTAGGGATAGGGCTAGGGTGAAATTACCCATTTGGTTTATATGTTGAAAAATCAGCTGCTGGCACTCAGTCTGTGTGAGGATGGGAACCTAGCCAAGGATCTGCCCTGCTTAATCTCTACCAAGTCTCGGCCCTACTTGTGCAGCGGTTAAGACTTCCTCACTGGCAACGAATTTGGTATAGAAGCTATTTATTTTGTTCCCCCAGTGTCCCAAAGTCATTCTCAGTAGGAAATTAATCAGTTAGGCATGTAGGGATTTATTCTGCTGTGGTAGTTAGGGGATGTAGTTATGCAAATAAACTGCTTAATGATGCTTAATTTTATAGATATACACTCCTTTCTCCTTGGTCTCATGTTGCCTTTCTGGAATCATCCAATTTTAATTCTATTGAGCTTCTTACCACATTAAAAAGTACATACAAAACTTAAAAAAAAAAGTCATAAAGAAACATACCTCTTACTAGTTAAAATAACCTATATCACTCATATAGAACGATGCACTGATTTATTGGTACAGAAACAAAATGGAAGAAAAACAGTATGTGGTTTTCTCTTTTTCAAATGAAACACTTTAGTAGTCATAGAATCATTGAATTTTTACAGTACTAACATTTGCACATCCCTTTATATATTACAAACTGCATTAACATGCATCTAATTCAATTTCTTATTTTGTGATTAGGAAACTAAGGTGATACTATTGTAAGGAGATCAGGAAGATGGAAATGATAAGGGCTTGGATTAAGTGAGCAGGATGGGTGGCAAGGAAGGAGTCAGAGGTAGAATGAGTTGGCTAGGGTATGGTGACACACCCACTAAGGAAGAAGACAGTCAAGATCAGTGACATTCTGAAACCCAGGATTTGTAACTACAACATTGGTGCATTAAATTCCTTGTGGAACCAGGAAGGACATAAATAAACTTTAGGGCAATACTTAGAAATGTAACCATATACAATTCAGTGAATACTCAACAAACATCCACTGTGGTAAATGCAACAGGGAAACAATTCCATTATGGTATGATCATCTTAAGATGGCCAGACTTTAAAGAAATTTCATGACTATTCAAATACAACATATGATAAGAATGTGCAACTTTCAGTGAATACTCAACAAACATCCACTGTGGTAAATGCAACAGGGAAACAATTCCATTATGATATGATCATCTTAAGATGGCCAGACTTTAAAGAAATTTCATGACTATTCAAATACAACATATGATAAGAATGTGCAACATTACTATTTCTTTTATTATTAAAATGTGTCAGTATTTTCAGCTAAGATTTTCCAAATACTCCTAAAGCAGATGGGATTCACATATGCATACATTTTAAAGATCTGCATACAGATGGATATGTATATAGAATGAAATTTACATTTCAAACACAGCTCAAGAATCTACTTTGAAGTGCAATGATAGTATTTTTAGGACAGATGCTAGTCTAACGAATGCCCCTCTATGAATCCCTGCATATCTCTCGAGACTAAAGGTACTTCCAGGGGCAGGCCTGCCAACTGGTCAGTCTTCCAAGTCACACTCATTCTGCTCCAATTCCTCCCCAGATAGCAGCCAATCTTTGCAAAGCACAAATCTGATGTCTCTCTCTGGATGAAATTCAAGCTTGTTAGTGTAAAAGACACATGCCTCTCTCTATGACGAATGGTCTCTGCCTATCCTGACTCCCTGCCCACTGTCAAAACAGAAATCAAATAGAAAGAAGAGTCACCTAAAGTCTCATATTGCTTTCCATCCTCTGATCCTAAGTGTGTGTAATTTGTGCACAGCTGCCATAATGACGGAGATACAATTTGGAACTGCTCTTTCACTTAATGGCATTAGAACCTGCGGCTGCATGGTTTCTGTAATTATCATTTTAGATGAAGTGCTATACTATAATTTATTCAACCATTTCCCTTTTGTTGCTATATGATTGTTCCTGGTTGTTCACTTTTACAAAGCACACAGCAATGAGGTTTTTATGAATATAGCTTTATATTTTCTTTTCCTTAGAAAAATGAGCATGAGTGGAAATACAGACTGAGTTGAAGTATGAACACTTTTATAGCTCTTAAAATACATTTCCAAATAACCCCAAAAGATTATTTATTGGAAACGCTGCCAGTAAAAGAGAAACTGTAAAGCCTGAAACAATTTTGTGCATAAATAGGTTCAATTTCAGAGAACAACCAGATATCTGAGTAGGGTTCTCTGGAGAACCCTGTGNTATAGCTCTTAAAATACATTTCCAAATAACCCCAAAAGATTATTTACTGGAAACGCTGCCAGTAAAAGAGAAACTGTAAAGCCTGAAACAATTTTGTGCATAAATAGGTTCAATTTCAGAGAACAACCAGATATCTGAGTAGGGTTCTCTGGAGAACCCTGTGCGCCTCAACTTCTTGAGGGTGCCTGCGTTGAGATTCCTGTTTATTGGTCTCACATCATAAGAATTTACCCAGCTGGCTCTGCATGAGACACTTGGCCCAGATGAATCATGAAAGGTGAATTCATGAATTTTAGGACGAAAAATTTATGGACACAATCGAGATAAGCAGAATAATACAAGGATTATATATTTTCACATACCTAACATATATACAAACCACATTTCCAAATATTTATTTAGTATTATATTTATTTAGTATTTGTGCCAACAATGAACAGAAAGTTAGATGAAGACCCTTGAGTGTATTTTAATTACAATTATATATACAGGGATTATATATTATAACTGTCAGCAGCCTATTTGCCAATTTTTATATATATTTATATATAAAACAAATACTTTCTTAAATTCTTTTCCAGGAAAATCATAGCCTAAGAATTGATCCTGGCATTTCTATAAAATTGATCTTGACGTTTCTGTAAAATGTCAGCTCAATGCAACGTGGACTTTATCTGCTAATGCTCAGTGCACTGAATTAAATACCATGGTAGTTTAGAGTTAACTCCACTTTGAACACAAAAATAATAGAATACTAATAGATCATCCTGTGTTCTACACAAGATTTTCCTTTTTACCTTTTTAAAAAACCTGTCCTATTTTCAAATTTATTCCACCTATTCTTTCCCGTCCACCTGTTTAAATTCTAGACCCATGAATTGTTTATCTCTGAAGTCACAGTGAAATATCAGTTGGAGATTACCCAAAAATACAGGGCATGATATGACTGTCTCTACATGTTCAGAAGCTTTGTGACAGCCGACACAGAAGTGGAAACCCATTAGTGCCAGACGAAACTACTGAATGAAAATAATTCATCAGGTATGGTCACATCTGAAAGACTGGCCAAATCTTGAAACAGAAACAGTGTAATGAAATAGTCGTTATAAAGCACTGGCTTTTATTTGGGTTTACAAGGAACTGCCTGTCCCTCTACTAAGGGATTATGTTTCTCAAGATAGTTTACCACCGTCAGCAGCCGACTTGCCAGTGTTTTCTAACAGAAAATACACAGAAGTACAAGGCTTGCTTTCAAGTGGATTTGGAAAATGGGAGTTTCAAAATGACATCAATTGCCGTAGAAGAATACTAGTTTGCTTTTAGTCTTAGACTGTATTAGGTGGGTCAGACAGCAAAGGCAGCATTTCAAGCAAAAGAAAATGTCTGAGCAGAAAACAAGAATTAATTACAGATCAAACGACTCCTTGAGAGGCAGCTTCACTAGGTGGAAAGCACGCTGGAGATCCAGGCTTTAATTCAGGCCACTTACAAGCCATGTGACCTCCAAGCCTCTGTTTCCTCATCTGCAAAATAATAGTTATAATACTGAGGCATGCCTTATCGTTTCTCAGATGTTCTCAATAATCAAATTGCTTAAGGTATTCAAAAGCATCAGCGCGCTATGATGAGTATAATGAACATATGGTAGTAAGTTGACCATTTTTATTACATAAAACTCTAAGTTTATCATTTGGAGTGTTCTTTGTAACAATAATAGTAGTATGATGAGAATAATAATGTACCGAGAATTTACTTATGCCAGGCACTGTTCTCAGGCCTTTAAATGTATAGACTCATTTAATCCTCACAACACTATGAGGTAAGTACTATTATCGTCATCCCCATTTTACAGAGCAGGAAACTGAGAGCAGGGAGAGGTTAAGTAATCGGCTCAAAGTTCCACAATTCCTCAGTGGAGGAGCCAGAATTCGAATGCCGGCAGGCAGCTCTTGTGGTTGTCACTTTCAAAGTGACCAGCACAGTCTGCCCACTGGCAGTGGGACCCACAAACTTTCTCAGAATCATTTATTTAATCATGCTGCTGAAAGGATCGATAATCAGCTCAAGCAACAGCCTAAAATTACTTGCTCCTATGTTTTGTTCACACCCATCCAGCTTCTGCATCCACCACCCCACTGTCAAATACTGCTCTACCTTCACTTCATTATCTCCATTCAAGAAAAGACACTTGGCATTCCTCATCTTAATTAGTTTCTCAGTAACACAGGCAATCTCTCCCTCCTTTCTCAAAAACTCAAACCTCCCTTGGCTTCTATAATATCACGTTCTTTCTTTTTTTATTCCATGCCTGCTCTTTCTCAGGCTCCTTTATCAGTGCATCCTCCTTTACCTAAGATATAAATGTTGTAGTTTCTCAAGGGTGGTCTTAAAAAGTGCCTGCTGCATGGGGTTGTTGAAAGATTCAATGAGCCAATGAAATATGTAAAGGCTTAGAACAGTACATGGCACACCGTGAATGCTAAATAAGTGTTTGCTATTATCTTCAGTTGATTTAATCTCTCCCCAGCTTTGATTGCCATGTTAAGGTTGACAGTTCCCAAATGCAATGTCATCATGTAGACCTCTCTGAGCTCTAGCCAATATACCCAATTGCTGATTCGTCATCTTTACCTGGATATCTCTCAAGACTTCGGACACATGTTGAAAATGAAACCTCTCATACCCTGCCCAAACTTGGT